TACAAGTTTACATTCCCACCAGCAGTGGAGGAGGGTTCCCCTTTCTCCACAACCTCTACAGCCTGTGTTATCACTTATGTTTTTGATCTTGGCCATTCTGATGGGTGTAAGGTGAAATCTCAAGGTCCTTTTGATTTGCATTTCACTCATGGCTAATGAGGTTGAGCATTTCTTTAAATGTTTCTCTGTTTTTTTATATTAACCTATTGAGAATTCTCTGTTTAGCTCTATTCCCCATTTTTTAACTGGATGACATGGTTTGTTGATTTTCAGCTTTAGTTCTTTATATATACTGGATATTAGTCCTCTGTCAGATAAAGGGTTGGTGATGATTCTTTCCCAATCTGTAGGCATTCGTTCTGTTTTGATGAAGGTGTCCTTTGCTTTACAGAAGCTTTTCAATTTCATGAGGTGCCATTTATTGATTGTTGCTCTTAGAGCCTGTGCTCTTGGTGTTATATTCAGAAAGTTTTGTCCTGTACCAATGAGTTCTAGGGTATTCCCCAATTTTTTTCTAGCCGATTTAATGTGTCTGGTTTTATGTTGAGGTCTTTGATCCACTTGGACTTCAGTTTTGTGCAGGGTGATCAGTATGGATCTTTTCATTTTTCTACATGTAGACATCCAGTTGGACCAGCACCATTTGTTGAAGATGCTATCTTTTTTCCACTGTATGATTTTGGCATCTTTGTCAAAAATCAGGTGTCCGTAAGTGTGTGGGTTTATTTCTGGGTCTTCTGTTCGATTCCATTGATCCACCATTCTGTTTCTATGCCAGTACCATGCAGTTTTTATAACTGTTGCTCTATAGTACAGCTTGAGATCAGGGATGGAGATACCTCCAGAAGATCTTTTATTGTAGAGGATTGTTTTAGCAATTCTCGGTTTCTTGTTATTCCATACGAAGTTGAGAATTTTTCTTTCCAGGTCTGTAAAGAATTGTTGGCAATTTGATGGGAATTGCATTAAATCTGTAGATTGCTTTTGGTAAGATAGCCATTTTTACTATATTAATCCTGCCAAGCCATGAGCATGGGAGATCTTTCCATCTTCTCATATCTTCCTCTAATTCTTTCTTCAGAGACTTGAAATTTTCTTTCATACAAGTCTTTGACTTGCTTGGTTAGGGTTACACCAAGGTACTTTATGTCATTTGTGGCTATTGTGAATGGTGTTGTTTCTCTAATTTCTTTCTCAGCCCTTTTGTCTTTTGTATACAGGAGTGCTACTGATTTTTTTGAGCTAATTTTGTATCCGGCGACTTTGCTGAATGTGTTTATCAGCTGTAGGAGTTCCCTGGTAGAGTTTTTGGGGTAACTCATACATACTATCATATCATCTGCAAATAGTGATAATTTGACTTCTTCCTTTCCCATCTGTATCCCCTTGATCTCCTTCAACTGTCTTATTGCTCTAGCAACAACTTCCAGCACTATGTTGAAGAGATATGGAGAGAGTGGGCAGCCTTGTCTTGTCCCTGATTTCAGTGGGATTGCTTTAAGTTTCTCTCCGTTCAGTTTGATGTTACCTATAGGCGTGCTGTATATCGCCTTTACTATGTTTAGATACGTGCCTTGTATCCCTGCTCTCCAGTACTTTAAACATGAATGGATGTTGGATTTTGTCAAATGCTTTTTCAGCATCTAGGGAGATTATCATGTGGTTTTTTTCTTTCAGTTTGTTAATATGGTGGATCACATGGATCGATTTCCGTATATTGAACCACCCCTGCATACCTGGGATGAAGCCTTGGTAATAGTGGATAATATCTTTGATGTGTTCTTGGATTCGGTTTGCAAGTATTTTGTTAAGTATTTTTGCATCAATGTTTATGAGGGAGATCGGCCTGAAATTCTCTTTCTTTGTTGAGTCTTTGTGAGGTTTTGGTACCAAGGTGACTGTGGCTTCATAGAATGAGTTTGGTAATATTCCTTCTGTTTCTATTTTGTGGAATAGCTTGAAGAGAATTGGAATTAGCTCTTCTTTGAAGGTCTGGTATAATTCTGCGCTGAAGCCAACTCGTCCTGGGCTTTTTTGGATGGGAGACTTTTGATGACTGCTTCTATTTCTTTGTGGGATATAGGACTATTTAATTAATTTACCTAGTCCTGATTCAGCTTTGGTAAGTCAAATCGATCAAGAAAATTGTACATTTCATTTAGATTTTAAATTTTTGTAGCATATAGACTTTTGAAGTAAGTCCTCATAATTGTTTGGATTTCCTCAGTGTCTGTAGTTATGTCCCCCTTTTCATTTCTGATTTTGTTGATTTGGGTGGTGTCTCACTGCCTTTTAGTTAGCTTGGCTAAGGGTTTGTCGATCTTGTTGATTTTCTCAAAGAAACAGCTCTTGGTTTCATTGATTCTTTGAATTGTTTTATTTCTTTCTAATTGATTAATTTCATTCCTGAGTTTGATTATTTCCAGCCGTCTACTCCTTTTTGGTGTGTCTGCTTCTTCTTTTTCTAGGGTTTTTAAGTGGGCCATTAAGTTGTTTGAATGAGCTGTCTCGAATTTCTTCTTGAAGGTACTTAGTGCTATGAACTTTCCTCTTTCACTGCTTTCATTGTTTCCTCTATTATCCTCTTCATCAGCATAGATGTAAGGTCATCTTCTTGATTTTCTAGTATGCTGCATTGTCCAGGTCTGTTCGCCCCTGGATGGCTGGTTTCTGGAGATGCCATATTGCTTTGTCTTTTGTTGGTTGAGCTTTTATGCTGACCTCTACCCATTGGGCTGATTTAGGTGTTGGCTGTTAGTTTCTGTGCTTCCTGGAGTCCTGAGGTAGGGAGAATCCCTTTGGCCAGAAGATGATTTTTTCCTGAAGGAGTCCTCCTCTGCTTTTTGGTTATGGTCACTGTATGGCCAGTGTTTCTCAGGAATTGCCACTGCTCACCTCAGGTCTATAGCCCTGAGTAGTAGCTGTGGTCTATGTTAGGCAGGGGGGGATCTCCTCTTACCCATAGAAGTTCTCAAGACAGCTGCCCCACTGCTGGGTTTCTTGTTATAAATTTTGTGTGCTGCTGCTCACTAAATTTCCATGTACAGTCCTCTTGAAGAAACTGCTGATTCCCTAGCTGTGGGGTTTTCTCCCAACAGGAAAACTCAGTCTGTTATCCTGGGGCACACAGTTCTGTCCAGGAAAGTGAGAGGTGCGCCCAGCCAGTCTCTGGGCCAGAGGCTGATTGCTCTGCTCTGGGCCTGGAGAATGTGCACCTAGGTTGAGTTTGTGCCTGGGGGCGCTGCTCTGGTCTGGAGGCTGGGTGCCTCACTCTGGACCAGAAGCTGTGTGTCTCTGTCTGGGATGGCGGCTGCAGGCACTGCTCTCGTCCAGACACTGTGGGTGCAGCCCTCTTGAAGGACCAGGGATTCCCACAGTTTTGACAATCTAGCTAGGGATAACTGGTTGATCCTTGGCACAGTATCTGAGGGCTGCTGTAATGGCTCTCTGGCTTTTGTAGGTCTGAGGATGCAGCTGTGTGTCCCAGTGCCCTAGGGGAACTCAATAATGGCGGCTGAGCACAGTGCTCCTGCCTTCATTAGAGCCTAGAGTCTGCGTGGATCCAGGAAGTCTTTTGGTGCTGGGTGTCCTGAGCGTTAGACCTGATGATCCCCTCCGCTGGGGGTATCCTCCTGCCAGAGACACCTAGTCTTTGCTTTGGAGACTGCTGTTATATCTGGGTTGGCGAGTAGAGCCCACAGGCACAGATGCCCACTTGTGGTTCTGCCTTTCTGGCCATTGGGACCTTGGCAGCTGGCTGCCTGTCTAAACTGGGTGATTTTCCTTGGGACCTTTTCGGGCTGGGGGTGTCGGCTGAGTGCTCTGAGATCAGACCAGCCGTTTCCCTCCCTGTGGGTTTGCACCTGACAGTGAAATGCAGTCTCTGGTGCCCTGGTGCCCTGGTGCCCACAGTTCTATCTGAGGCAGCGAATCAGGCGCGCAGTAGGGCTCTGTGCAGGCACCTGGGTCCCTGCCTCTCGCTCTGGACTGGGTCCCTGCCTCTCGCTCTGGACTGGCTCCTGGGGCGCCCGCAGAGCCCGAGTCTTTTCCCGGGGATGTCTGGGTGACCTAAGGTCGGGCCCAATTGTTTCCTGCTCCATGGGGTTATCTCTCAACTGGAAAATCCAGTCTGTGGTATTATGGGCCCACAGTTCAGTCTGGGACAGTGACCAGATCACGCTGGGGTGTAGCTCTGGGCTGGCGACCAAGCGCCTGGCGGAAACCAGGAACTCTTCCGCGGTTTAGCCGGGTGAGTTAAAGCTGATTGAATCCCCCACTGTGGGGTATCCTCTCACCTGTGAAACACAATCCCTTGTGTTTTATGGCCGCGAGTTCTGATTGCTGGTCACTGTGACAATCCTGCTGTGCTGCTCCTCAGAATGAGAGTCCTCCTGGCGCAGCCATCTTGCCCCCTGTGATGACTTTTAAACTGACTTTTAAATATCTAAATTAAGCATGTGGATTATTTTGACTGTCATCTTAGGTTTTAAAGAATCACTATTCACAGTATTTAGTGATTAATGGTAGAGATTCATAATAACACCATGGATAATTTATTAATGCTGTTTCCTGGTGTTCAAATATTCAATAAGGAATCCCTCTCTGTCCATAAACATTATGAAAGAGATGATAGAAAATATTAGAATCTAAGGAAGTGGATGTAATTATGAACAACAATTTATTCCTGACCATTTGTCATCAAGCCGCTAAGATGGCTTCAGAGATATCAAAGCTATCTTGGACAGGAATCATGACGCAGGAAGAAGCAAAAGGAAATCCTCCAGAAAGAGATAGGTATATGATAATAAATCTGTTAACATTCCCTGGAGATATACGGACAAGGTTCACGTATGAACATGACTTCTTGCTGTCGCACGGCTATGCATACCCTTGGGGCTTATCTGCTAGTATATATAGTAGGAGGAAACTAGCTGAATGCATGACTCCAGTGAAGAAGCTCACCAGAGTCAGCACTCATCCTGCTTGGGAAATCCTCAGCGATGGAGCTGCCATTGAGTCAACGTCACTTCTGTAAGTGAATTTTCTTCTATGTCTCTCTATGAAAAAGATTCAATGAATTTGTTCATTTAGTGTGTTTTAATAAAGTTCTTAGGAATCTGATGTTCAGTCTGGCATGAACAAATAGTTGTCATAGTTTTACAAAAAAAAATACTCCATTATAGATTTTCTTATATCTTTTATAATTATTTTATTGAAAGGTATTGTATAAGTATACAAGAGTGCAGGGAAATATTTGTTTTTAAATTTTGTGGTGGATATCATCATTTTGGACACTGTGGGAACATAGATAGCACAGTTTATCTGTTTGCTTCCTCTACATATTAGACAATGAAAAAAAGACAGGATTACTAATACAAAAGATGAAGAGAATGCTGTCCTAAAATACAAAGTCCGTTTGGAATTGCTAAGTTATAAGAGGGTTGATCTGGAATCATAGGAATGAAGGGCGAGATAGAAAGATCTGGAGGAGACTGGAGCCCCACAAGGAGAGCAACAGAACCAAATAATGTGGACACAGGGGTCTTATCTGAGAATGACACTCTAAACAAGGACCATGCATGGATTAACCTAGAACCCCTGTCAGATGTAGCCCATGGCAGCTCAGTCTCCAAGTGGACTCCCTAGAAAAGAGGAACATGGGCTGTATCTGGCATGAACTCAGTGACTGGCTCTTTGATCACCTCCCCCTGAAGTGGGAGCAGCCTTACTAGGCCACAGAAGAATACAATGCAGCCAGTCCAGATGAAACCTTATAGGCTAGGGTCAGATGAAAGGGGAGGAGGACCTCCCTATCAGTGGACTGGGGAAGGGTCAAGGGAGGAGAAGAGGGAGGAATGGTGGGAATGGAAGGGGATGAAATAAGGGGCTACAGCTGCAATACAATGTCAATAAATTATAATAAATAAAAAAATTAAAATTAAAAAAACATCCTGGAGAGTTTGGTAAATGAAATTGAGCTAAACTCCAAGGTTACCATACCATCTTAATAAGGGCTTAAAAATACTAGTTCAGAATTAATTTCAGTTGCAGATATTTGTTATTTTATTTTATTTTATTTATTTTATTTTTTTCTTATCAGTTACATTTTATTAACTCTGTAGCCCATTTGTATCCTGCTCCCTCATTCCCTCCCAATCCTACCCTCCCTCCCTCATCTCCACGGTGCCACTTTCCAAGTCCACTGATAGGGGGGACCTCCTCCCCATTCATCTGATCCTGTTTTATCAGGTATCTTCAGGACTGGCTTCGAAGGCCTCCATTGTGGCCTAACAGGACTGCTCCTCCCTTGTGTGGGGGTGGGGGGAGTGTCAAAGAGCCAGTCATTGAGTTCCTGTTAGAAATAGTCCTGTTCCTCTCACTATGGGAAACCAATTGTTTACTGAGCTACCAGAGGCTACATCTGAGCAGAGGTTCTAGGTTATATCCATACATGGTCCTTGGTTGAATGTCAGTCTCTGAAAAGACCCTGTGCCCAGATATATTTGGTCCTTGTGGAGCTCCTATCCTTTCCCCATCATACTAACTCCCCTTCTTTCATATGATTCCTTGTACTCTGCCGAAGGTTTGGTCATGAGTCTTTGTATCTGCTTTGAAAACACTGCTAGTTAGAGTCTTTCAGATGCACTCAATAGACTCCTGTCATACATTCAATGCACATCCTATCTGTCTTTCTAAACTAGGATTGATCATCTTACTCCATGCCCACTCTCTTGATTATCTTTTTTTATGTGTATAGATTTCATTTTGTTTATCATATCTTATAGGTCTATATAAGTGAGTATATACCGTGTTTGTCTTTCTCCTTCTGGGATATTTCACTCAGAATGATCTTTTCTAGATCCCAAAATTTGCCTGCAAATTTCATGATTTCCTCCTTTTTGATTGCTGAGTAGTATTCCATTGTGTAAAAATACCACAATTTCTGTACCCATTCCTCCATTGATGGACATCTGGGTTGTTTCCGGGTTCTAGCTATTACAAATAAAGCTGCTATAAACATGGTTGAGGAAGTATCCCTTTTGTGTACTTGAGCAAACTTTGGGTATACACCTAGCAGTGGTATAGCTGGGTCTTGAGGAAGCACCATTCCTAATTGTCTTAGAAAGCGCCAGATAGATTTCCAGAGTGGTTGTACCAGTTTACATTCCTATCAGCAATGGAGGAGGGTTCCCCTTTCTTCACAACCTCTCCAGCATGTGTTGTCACTGGAGTTTTTCATCTTGGCCATTCTGATGGGTGTAAGGTCAAAATCTCAGGGTTGTTTTGATTTGCATTTCCCTGATGGCTAATGAGGGTGAGCATATCTTTAAGTGTTTCTCTGGCATTTGATATTCCTCTGTTGAGAATTCTCTGTTTAGCTCTGATCCCCATTTTTTAATTGGATTACTTGGTTTGCTGCTTTTCAGCTTCTTTAGTTCTTTGTATATACTGGATATTAGTCCTCTGTCAGATAAAGGGTTAATGAAGATTCTTTCCCAATATGTAGGCAGTCGTTTTGTTTTGATGACGGTGTCCTTTGCTTTACAGAAGCTTTTCAGTTTCATGAGGTCCTATTTATTGATTGTTTCTCTTAGAGCCTGTGCTGTTGGTGTTTTGTTCAGGAAGTTCTCTCCTATGCCAATGAGTTCTAGGATGTTCCCCACTTTTTCTTCTAACAGATTTAGCGTGTCTGGTTTTATGTTGAGGTCTTTGATCCACTTGGACTTTAGTTTTGTGCAGGGTGATAAATATGGATCTATTTTCATTTTTCTGCATGTAGACATCCAGTTGGACCAGCACCATTTGTTGACGATGTTGTCTTTATTTCCATCGAATGGTTTTGGCTTCTTTGTCAAAAATTGAGTATTCAGAGGTGTGTGGGATTATTTTGGGTCTTCTATTCTGTTCCATTGATCCTCCTTTCTGTTTCTATGCCAATACCATGCAGTTTTTATTACTATTGCTCTGTAGTACAACTTGAGATCGGGGATGGAGATACCTCCAGATGATCTGTTGTTGTACAGGATTGTTTTAGAGATTCTGGGTTTTTTGTTTCTCCATATGAAGCTGAGAATCTTTTTTTCAAGGTCTGTAAAGAATTAAGTTGGTATTTTGATGGGAAGTGCATTGTATCTGTAGATTGCTTTTGGCAGGATGGACATTTTCACAATGTTAATCCTACCAATCCATGAACCTGGGAGATCTTTCCATCTTCTGATATCTTCTTCAATTTCTTTCTTCAGAATTGAAGTTTTTCTCAAACAGGTCTTTCACTTGCTTTGTTAGTGTCACCACAAGGTACTTTATGTTATTAGTGGCTATTGTGAAGGGTGTTGTTTCCCTAATTTCTTTCTCAGCCCTTTTGTCTTTGGTATACAGGAGGGCTTCTGACTTTTTTGAGTTGATTTTGTATCCTGCCACTTTTCTGAAGATGTAAATAAGCTGGAGGAGTTCTCTGGTTGAATTTTTGGGTTCGCTCATGTATACTATCATATCATCAGTTGCAGATATTTGTAAAAATAGAAAGCACTCCTGAAACAGAAGTAATGGGAAATTATTTCCTTCTCAAATTGTTATAGAGAAAAACATTAACTTGCCTAAGTACTGTCAGAGATATATCTATCATGCCAGATATAGAACACAAAGTCATGTAGTAAAGAAAATTTCAGACAGATAAAACTTTTTGAAACAGTTGAACCTTGAAAACCTCAGATTAATACATTATTCCTAAGTGGCTTTTGTTTCTAAGTAGCAGGGACACTCCTGCTTTTGGTGATGTCAAACCTGCTGCTGTGGGAGAAAGCTGCAGCAATTCCTGCTTGCCATACTGAAGAGGGAGGCTGTATGGAGCTCCTTGTGGAAACATTTAACAATGCCATCAACAGAGCTGAAACTGTCTATAATCTTGCTGTTCAAATATATCAAGAATTTGTAAGTACCTCAATCTTCATACTAATGTTTGAATTGTACTAGAACCTGAGATATTAAGCATCATAACTCAAATATCAGAAAGTATAACTTCATTGGTAAAGGACATACCAACTACTGATACATGGGAAGGGTCAACTGGACAGTTTCATAAAATGTCAATGAATCTAATGATTTTTTTTACATTTTCTGTGTTTTAGTGAAAAAAAACCCCTATACTAGAGACCTTTAAAAATATAACTAGGGAGTGATTTCTCATTTCCTATTGTTACATTCAAGGATATGAAAGTCAATTGGCCAAGTTCAAATAGGGCAGTTAAAATATTCACTCTAAGTATGGATGATGCAGTGAACTATATATTTGGAACACTGTAAACTAAAGCATATGAAGAGACAAGAATAAAGAAAGACAGAAAGACAAAAAGAAAGAAAGAAAGAAAGAAAGAAAGAAAGAAAGAAAGAAAGAAAGAAA